TCAACATGTTTCATGTATGACACATGTGTTCAATATATTTGGGACTGTTTCTGGAAGAGTCGTATTATAACATATAATGCATGCACCCATGTGTGCATATGCCCTCAACAAAATGGGCCTGCAAATCATATAGCCCAACACCTTCAGCAACCAGCTTGATGGTTGCTGGCTTAACGTCCTTCACATAGAATGCAGCCGTGCAAGACCGTGACTGCACCAGCCTAAGCCGCTAGCAAGAAACATGTTTTACGCACCATTTGATGGGATTTATGGTTTGCACATGATTAATTCTTGAGGAAGACGAACCTGAAACAGGAAATGGTGGACCCCTATAGTAAACAAATAATGGTCGTCAGCTGGGCTAAGCTTCAAGCAAAATCTGAATGCGTGTGGCTTCCTCTGCAAGGCTCTCATCCAAATCGTCTGGAGGGAGCAAAGTCCACGACCTGGTACGCCGACCGATGTAGTATATTCATGCATGATCGACATACTAGGTTAAATGACATAAATATAGAGCCCACACATTCCAACTCATATGGATTGCGTGCAGGAGTTGGCAATAGGATAAGCAGCAACCACTGAGGATGTCACTTCTGATCCCCAACTTCCTGTGGGGGGAAGCGGAGGTACTTGTGGTTGACTTTCTCCATCAGGATGCGCAGGTTTGCAACACGAGCCTCCCAGAGCCCACGGTTGACTCATCGCATGCATTGTCGGTTATATCAAGTTTCATGGCACATGTATACATGTATGCATGCATATGCATAGTCTAGTTACTATAGTTGTTACACAAATGTTGACTTGCATGCGCATCTCAATGATTCATATGCTGCACAGATTGCGATCAATCTACAAATTTAATATAAACAGTGCCCCTGTAGTGTGTTGGAAAGTTGTCACAGAATTAATCCATTCAAAACGTCAAAAAACGGAGCGTAGTGCATGTTCAACACCATTGCCCATCGCCCACAAAATATGTGTCTCCACCATGCCCCTACCCACAGGACGGGCCATGTCTTGCTTTGCTTTCTCTGCTTCTTTTGCTTTTGACTTCTTCTCTGCTGCTTCATCAGCATTTGTGGTCGCTTCATTTGTATCCTAAACGGATATCAGTCAAGCTGCTGGTAAGCGGGTTAATACACATGCGCACAACAACTCAATCACACAATTATGAGTGCATGCACGTGCCATATATACATGTGCAGGGATGCAATAAGCACTAAATCACATGCACATATATTAAACGCAAAAACAGGCATTATACAATGGTGATGTGTCAGTCCTCGGCCACAGAAGTGGGTGCATCTGCTTTTGCTTTCTTTGGAGCAGTGGCTTCTTCCATCTGGGCGGCCTCGACATCATTAGCCCTCTTGAGCTCCTGGGATTCCTTGGCCATGGCCTTGGCCCTTTTCTTTCTACCAGAGCCATCATTTGCCGCACCAGCCATCTCAGGCTGCTCAGTACTCTGACCCTCCTTGCTGGAACTGGAGCCAGGGTTAGGAGGGTTGGGAGGTTCAGCCGGTTGTGCGACTGATGATTTTCGCCCACGCCCACGCCCACGTCCACGTCCTTTTGACTTCCCCTTGCCGCGGCCACGGCCCCTTGGTTTGCCGTCATCTCCTTCCTCGTCCGCATAGGCACGGTCCGGGTCCTCCTCCTGCTCTTGAGCCTCCTTCTCCATTTTGCGAAGAGCTTTTTGCCCCTGCAGTGGACTTGTGAGGACAATGAACAAATACTCCTAATGGAAAACTATTCGCACATTAACACGCACATGTATTTTGCCGTATACACTCATGTGACATGTTAATGTTCAATTTAACACTTTGCAATTTGAAGTATGATATCATGGATTGAATGGTCTGGTCAACTATGTTCCAATCAAGGCTGCAAGGCCAAGATAGGCTATACACGCAAAGAATACAATGTGGGCAGAAGAACTATGAAAGAGAGGTAAAAAGGGCGGCCTTGAGAAACTCTTTGTTCATCTCCTCCTCATCTTGCGCCAGCTCTTTGATCACCCTATCAGCCTCCTGCATCACATCCTCGGGCATGTGGGGGAACTCAGCGAGGGGCTTTCGGTCCTGCCATGTTGGCTTGGACACATGCGAGATAATGATTAATCAAACAAAACCTGTATGCGTACTACTGGCTTGTGATAACCCCATCCATCATTTTTGTATCCATTAACACGTACGTGACATATATAGCATGTGCTTGCATGCCATGCATAGTATATCAATTAATGAATGTCCCCGATCGTGCCTTGAATGTTTGCTTCTTTGCTTGCGTGCTATTTTGCGCAGTCTCTTCTTTCTCACTGTCTAAGGCTTCTTGTTCTGCTTCTGCGGCTGCTGCCTCTGCGATCTCTTCCTTTGTACCTGGCGGAACTGGTGCTACCAGTGCTTCCGGCAGTGCTGGGTCTGAACTGCCAGTCTGGCCAGCCACCTGGGTATCATCGGGAGGACATTCAGCCTTCACCTGCTGCGGGTGCTGCGGAGTGCTTGCTGCTGCAGCTGCCACGGTGGCATTGCCAGTGGAACCACCATGCTGGTCAGCACCACCCTTCTGCCCGAGATCCTCAAGCTCAGGAGCTTTGGGCTTTTGGGGCGACATGACACACTCATCATCTGACATGATGAGGACCGTGTCATTGTCTTGATATTGCATGCACACAACAGGCTCAACGCAATCGTCATCAGTCACGACTTCCTCCTCCTGAGCCTCACCATACTCATCATCATGGTTTGGCACGTCAGCTGCCTCCTCGAACTTCTCTCCCAAGTCACCTAAATGGCTGGTCGACTTGCCTCTTTCCAATCGCCACTGTGAGTCAATTCCAGGCGACGCCTGTGGTGGTGGTGTGCATTGTGGCTGGCCGTCAGACAGTGGCTGGGTGTCTGCGTCATCAGGGATGGCATCCCTCTCCTGCATGTAGCTGCGTTTGTATATATCGCCCACATCAAACAATATAATATGCATGAATGCATGGCGATCTCAAAACACCAACTTTTCAATTAGTCTTGATTATATTACTCAAGATTGATCACAAACACTGACGCAAAGCCCATCCACCAGACCATACCCTGGCCGGGCCTTCTTCTGCTCACTCATTCCACGTCCACGGGTCGGCTTTCGTTTTCCCTGTGGGGTCAACAAGTCATGCTCCTGTCCAACACAAGATTGCTATATACTTTTGAAATGTGTGCCAATTGCATATCCATGCTTGCACATGCACACTAATGATCGACAGTTATAATGCCACAATCATGCATAGATAGATCAAACACACAAAGGCCAATTGGAGTTCTGCAATGGAAGCCACACAAGAAAAATACATGATTCCGCATATATGAACACAATATCAAGATCTAACCCGGACTCATTCTTGGCACATGTAATCAATTGCCTGAGTAACACCCACACTACCCATGTCCTCCAACTTGAAGCGGATCACAGCCTTAAGGTTCTCGGTTCTTTCATGTCCAGGCCTGCAGCATGCATAATATGGCTTAGCAGTGCATGCCCATGCAATCAAATGAATGACATCCCTATAAACCAAGCATGTGTAACAGAAAACACATTTCCACGAATTGTATACACATATTTGCTGGAAAGATCCATCTAACATCATCTAACTATTCTATTTGTGAACTGTACGACCAGTTGAACGGCTTGATCAAAAAATCGCCTTGCACCAACATTTCGTTGGAAGCGATCCATGCACCATGATGCGGCGCCCATCAAAGTACCAGCTTCGATGATGGACCATGCCTGCACAGTTCACCATTGGACTGTTATATTAATCAATTCATGTTTGACCCGGTTCGTTCATCATGAATCATGCGCATGAAACATCATGAAACCTGATATCATGAGAATGATGTGTGCCAGGAAGTTTGTGCACTTAAGGGAAAGGACTGGAGACCAGCCTGGTGCTGCTCAGGACGGCGCCAAGGATTGAGGCGATAGTGGCTTGATGCCCATGCCAAGCCCAACTGGTCAGTGCAGTTGAAACTGATTGGAAGACCCTGTAGTGTGCAATTGTGTTGATCACCATGTTTTGCACAAAAGCTCATTGCAGAACTCCACACAATATGAATCAGATGACCCTTACTTTGGCCTCAAGTTCCTTGCGGCGTGGCAAGTCATGTGCAAAGGAAGCCAGGTAGGCCAGTACAAACTCATAGTTGTGGTCACTTTGAACCTGCCAAAGGGACAACATGGATCGAGGAACAGATCGATTGTAAGTTTTGGGGATGAATTGAAAGTTCTAGTTTTTCTCCACTTTGAGCAGGCCTCACGCTCCGAAATCACTTGTCGAGAACCTTCCAAGATGATGAAGCGGAACTTTGGGACCTTGCAAAGACAATACTGACACCGTTCATGACTTGTTTCCCTGGTCTGAACTTTGCTTTTGGAATGACTAATCCAAAACAAGGAGTCTAGTCTGAGTTGATGACCAATTTTGTATCATCATCACGAAGTTTTGCCCTGATACGAAGTGCCTTGCGCCTTTGGACGATGAACTCATCATTCTCACAGAAGCTTCGTAGAAACTCCTGCAGGATGGGTGCACAAGTATCGCGCAGGAATTCCGGGGAGTATACTAAAAACCTAGCTGGAATGATGACCTCTATGGATCAATGTGCACGGCTGGGTGCTCCTTGATCAATGCCACCCTTTGCGGATTGAGCCGCTTTGGGGTGAACTGCCATGGCAAAACATCAGCCATAGCCCCGAGTGTAAGTGTGTTGCCAGAAAACACATGTGCACATGCATGCCAACCTCATGATCAGACTCGCGTGCCCCCCCCCTCAGATAGCCAAAATGCCACAGTCCTAACATGACTGACGACTATACTAGCTCCATTTGCAAAGGTGGTTCAACAACCTTGTTTCATGAAACTTGATCACCAGCAAGCCCTGCTTGCCTTGCACATGACCAAAACGTGTACTCTAGAGCTCTGTCAACTGGACAGGGTCAGGGCGGTGGGATGGCACCAATGAGTTCATCCAGATCGATGACGTCATCGCCAGTCAGGTGTTCCAAATAGCCTCGGGGACAACTTTGGCCCAATCACTTCATGAGTTGCACGCCAGCTTAGGAATTAACTCAGCATTCTATGTCACTGCTAGTGTCACTGCTGAAGAAAGATCAATCCAGCATCGATGGATAGGGTGATGACATTGTCATGCAACTGGGCTGATAAGGAGTTGAGTGCTGGGCGGGCAGCCAAAGCTTTTCTCATCTTTTCTCATGGCCCATGACCAAGGAGGCTGAGCAAATGAGTGAAATCTTAAATACTAATGATTATTACTTTGGTCGTATCCTTGCTGAACAACAGTCCAAATTATAAAGTTGCAACGTTGCATATTACATATGGTTATTATCATCGGGCCTTAGGTCTGAAAGTTGTTCACTTTTGTGCTGCTGATGTTCTTTGAATGACCCTTGAAGGTTGTGCCCCCTGCACAACCTAATGTGCCAAAATGGCCTCCAGCATCTCAACTCCAGATCACACCTATCACTCGTAGGTTCAGTACCTGGCGGGACGGCAAAAAAAGGTCGTTCTACTAAACCCCTTTGTTTTCCTGGGCGATGACTCCCAGGGTATAGTGTGTTTGACGGAAGGTACACCTTGCTTTGCAACAAGGTTTACCCACAATACCCCAAGCCATTTGGCTTGGCCAATGCCACATTCTGAGGCTCCCGAGGTTGGTCTTGGGATGTTTTAAACAAACTGTCTTGAGTAAGCTGCAAACTTTCACTTTTGGCACGGTTCCCAGCCATGCAGCTGCGCACCACCCCACGTTGCGACCGTTGCGTACCACTTGGTCATCAACACTGAGCCGTAGCCACTTCGGGGATCAAGTCCAAACGCGACCTCTCAAACGCCGACCGCGGTCCTGGGCCTTCCGCGCGGTCCAAGGCCTGGGTGAAGGTCATGGCCGTCTTCACGGGAGCCTGGAGAACGGCGGGAGCCTGGTCCTTCTGCCTCCGTGCCTTCTCCGATCCGGATCCGATGAGTCAGATTGATCCAGGTGAACATGCACTCGAAACTGGATTGCAACCCAAGAGTGAACATAGACCAAGCTACGGAATAAGGCAACAAGTGGCGCTCAGACCTGAATGAGAGAGTTTTGAGCTACAAAGCCTCCACATCTGTTGATTGGGGGTTCACTTTATCAACATCCCATCAGACTTGTGTGCGTGAATTCATTCAAGTTGAATAGTGCTGCCTGCGTGCGGGGGCACCTCGTAAATGTTACGTAATTATCCGACCATATCACGCCCTCATAGCCATCATGATCCACTGAAAAGGCCACGGCCCAACGTACTCTTCTAACTCAAGTAGAGGGGAATCTCAACCCGTTTTTTTTCTTTCAGTGTGCTTTTCAAGCTGGTCAAGTCCACCTTCCATCTGAACTAGCGCGCCTGACTCCGCTCCAAAGCCGCCCAGAGTGGCTGAAAGGCGCTCTGGCGTTGACCCACAATGTCCTACTGTTTGGAACTGCGAGGAAATGCGGGAGGTTGTCGCATGAACCGAGGGAGAAATCAAAACGACCGACCAACGGTCCTCCTGCGTCCCATGTACGGGTCACCGATGGGTTTGAGGTTGTGATTCCTTTTCCCAGGGTATTTGAGGCGTCTCAGTAATAACACAGATTACAGTATAAGACTAAATATATATATAATATTACATAAATATATATATATATATTGTTCATATCTTCATGTGGCATCATGTGGATATCCCTTGGAAAGGTCGCACCCTCATCCATCGACCTCTTCATTGAGCAGATTCGTGGACCCAAGTCGCCAGATGTCCCTATGGACACCAGCCGAAAGCGACTCTGCAGGAGGCGAAAGCCACGCGCGACGCCACATGAGCGAGCGAAGGCGAGCGAAGGCGAGCGAAGGCGAAGCGGGTCTCCTGGTGAGAAGAGAGTTGCAGGGGCCAGAAGAGAGCCTCCGGTGGCGTGCGACCGGAGAATGGAGGACCACCCGATATATTGCGCGGTTCCGCGTGCGTGGAAGTCTGGAATCATTGGAAAACAGACCGGAACACGCCGGTTTTGTTGGGGACACCCACCTTGCTGCTTAATTATGTTTATAACGATATCTTAATTTGGTTCTTACTTGCCAACGAAGAAATTAGGAGTCGGGAAACATTCTTGCTGACCTCACAGGACAAAAACCTAGCACAGCCTAGCGGCCTCGCATCACTGTTATTGTGTCATCTGCTTGAAGGACATGTCCCATCAAAATTGGGAGCGACATCGAACTCTGACTTGGTCATGATTCGGAAACATTGGAAACCTGTAAGCATCCCTGTATTCTTGGTGCTGGTGCTGATGCTGGTCGTGGTGTTTTGGTGGCGGTGGTGGCGGTGGTGGCGGTGCCGGGGGTGGCGGCGGCAGCGGCGGCGGCCGCGGTGGTGGTGGTGGTGGTGGTGGTGGATCATCCAACGCTACTATGTTGTTGCTCTTTGTTTTTAAATGAATACAGTACAGCCACCTGAGACTGGAATCTCCCACAACCTGGTGGCCAAAATACTGGGATACGAAGCGCCAAAAGCGTAGGATGTCTGACGCCTGGAAGCGGAAAAGCACTCGGCCACTTTCACCCCTACAAAACACTCCATAAACAACGTGACCACAGCACCTGACGTAACAACCTTGCTCTCTAGACTCAGCAAATGCCACGCGCCACGGCGTGCCAACGCCACGGAGTGCTAACGCCACGGCGTGCCTGTGGGTACTGCTCTGCGAGCAGCTCCAAAGGCGCTCGCAGGACCGGCACGTGGGGCAAATGCGCCAAGGCCTCGCGAGGCGAAGGCCGCAGGGAGCGGGGGCACTTGGATCCCATGGATCAATCATTGGGCAATCTGGTGTGCAGTTGGGGATCCTTTGAGAATCTCAGTCCAGTTGGGGTGCCAGGTTTTGGGATGCAAACGATTCCAAATGCATACATAAACATGTGTCTTGTGTTCATGTCCAAGCCAGTAACTTGAATCGACGGCCCCAGACTCTGAATATTGAGATAGCCGCTCAATTTTAGTTTATGTCCCGTCTGTCCCGTGTTGAAAAGTAGCGTAATGAGCAGCACTCAATCACCCCTAGCAACTACTTGAAGTCCCAAAGAACTTCCCTTAGCCATGAGCAGTCGTTGGTGAATTTCCCAGGCCACTGGTGCAGATTAACATTACGAGTAGCAGCACACATGTCTTCAGAATGTTGTTAGATTGGAGGCCTGGGTCCGGTGCATCAACAATTTCCTACATTGCATCCATCTGGACCACTTCCGGCTCCCGCCTGAGGAAGCCAGCGCAGAAAAGGCCAGGATGGAACTGACCTGACATACTATGCGATATTATGCGATATACTCCGGTGTAGAAGTGTACCTATCTCGTTGGAGTAGTTTCCAGCCCACCCTCATGGCCGATCTGGGGTCTTTTTCATAAGCTGATTTGAAGCTACCTGCCAATAGGACGTCCAAACAAGGGACACACAAGATAAAACGGATAGCACTTTGCATTTGGGCTTGGACCATGTCAAGCAGTCCTAGCAAAAAATCAGATCCTAAAAAATCCGGGCAGTTCATTTGGGTCAATTATCGACTTGCCCAGCTCGTTGGGTCGAAAGTGGAACTCAACGCTCTGCTTGTCCCACATATCTTAAGGCCAGACTTCCTGCGAGAAGTGAAATTTGTTCTATAAATGTCCATCATCCTGCATGCAGCCATGTTTAATCCCTGACATTCTGGGTTGACTTAGGTGTAGGTCCCAAAATTCTACAAGTACTGGTGTTGGTCAGTCTAATCCCAACATTCCGAACATCTGCGACGACACCCGAAGAATGACACACGTCGAAGTCTTGGCTGCGACGCATGGCATTGCGCCCTGCAGAGGTGAAGGCTAGCCTCAAGCGTAGATAAGACCATGGACCGACCTGCACAAGCATATATATATATAAGCCCCCCAAGACCATAAGAATAGGAATAAATATTACATAAAGCCTTATAAAGCATAATAAAACTCTGACATGTCACATTCATAATTATAAAGGAAATAAAGGACGAACCAGACTAGACTCGTAAGACCAAGCTGGAAAGCACTTCGACCTTTCTGCTGTATCCCGGGTACTGGTACAGGGCAGCCCATTCAGATCATCACACCTCCTTATAAATCCTCCTTTTTGAAACCACCCGTAGTGGGTGACCACACGAACTGCCGCTTCACTCCGACCAGATGTGCCTCGGGCAGGCCACCGCTTCCCCAAACCAGCGAAACGCACGCCTCGCGTGCTTCTCAAAGACAGAGCTTGAGCCTGAGGGCGCTACTAGTCACTATATAGACTATAGTGGCTCCTGGCATTACTACTAGTAGCTAACAAAGGGCATCCCTACTAGCAAGGACTCTACTAGTTACATCTAGTTACTAGCTCCGGGCATTACTACCCACGGTGACAGGTCGCCGCGGTGACCGGATTCCACGTCGATGGACAGGTGGGATCCGGACGGTGCCTGAAAGACCCAAATTGGAGCTACGTTTGTAGCGTCGGGTTGGCTCAAAAAGGCCGTTACTCGTAGTATCTAGTAGCGATGCCCTGGCTCCTAGTAGCTTCTTGTTCCTAGTAGTAGGGCCAGGAGCTACTAGCAGCGTCCTTGCTCCAAGTAGCGATGCCCGGGTTCCTAGTAGCGATGCCCTTTGTTACTGGTAGCATCTAGTAGCTATTTGCTACTAGTCGTAATGCCAGGAGCTCCTCTGTTTTCGGTGACACGTCTGACACGACCATTCTCCTCCGAGACTGTTCAACGACCCTTCTCCATCATGATTTGTTCCTGAAGTCTAATGATCTAATGTGGACTGATGAACAACACCTCCCTAGGTGCATTGCTAAAACATCTCCATCTGGGGGCGGTTAAATGAATTAACCATTTACCATCTGAGGAAGTTGCATACATCAACCAGTCACCAGTCGGAACTTATCAGCATCGGATGTCAAATTGGACTCACCGGGTTAGCAACCAGTTAACAGCAAAAAAGTCAGGCTTCATCCCCGAAAAGGCTTCACACCGAACCAACCCAGTGAACCCGTCTCTCCGGTGCGGCGCCTGGGAAGAGTGCCAAGAGCTCAAAGAGCCGTGGCAACCGCTCGTGCCCCGCACGGAATGCCTGTCGGTGGGTGGAGGGGGAGAAGTAGAGGGAAGTAGAGGGAAGCAGGGTGGTTTGCCCGGCTTAGTTGG